GGGGGGGGGGGGGGTCATGACACCAGGGGACCCTTTGGTGATGCTTTTGCAGCAAGGGGCAGGGCAAGGAAGATAGCAACCAATGGCAGGCAGCGTCTTGGGCCCGACTGAGTTCCGAAGAATCTCATTGGTGGGATCTGGGTGCCTCTAGGGGCTGAGTACAGAGCTTGGCTGGGGGCCAGCTGCCGTCTTCTCAAAGAACATCAGGTCCTGGGGGGCAGAATCAGAGCTGGGTGAGACCCCAAGGGTTTCCATGGGGCTGGGAGTAACTGGAGGGGTCCAACAGAGAAGTTGGGGGGCAAAGAGAGTCATTGGGGGCAGCAGTGGGGGGTTGTGGGGCAGGAGGTGTCATGGCACGGTGGAGGCCGGGGCAGTAGGGAAGTAGGTATGGGGGTGGTGGAGGATTTAGTGGGTAGGCCTGGAATTGGGGGGGGGGGTGTTCCCTGGTGCCAGGCAAGGGGAAGTTGGCCAATGGGTGGCCATCTTGGCCTCGTCTAATGACATCTTGGCTCAATCGGCTGTTATCTTGGGCTATTCTGGTGCCATCTTGGCCAAAGGGCTGCCATATTGGTCCTGTCTGATGCCCTTGACTCAAGAAGCACCCATCTTGAGCTGGCTGGAAGCCATCTTGGCCAATGGGCTGCCATCTTGAGTTGCTCTGATGCCATCTTGGGAAGCTCCAACACCATCTTGCCCAGCATCCCTCTGTACCTTAATGTCAGTGGCGTGATAATGGTGGGGGGTGGGGCTAGTGAGGTTGGGGCCTTGGTGGAAGAGTCTGTGGAGGTCATGTTTGGCCACAGGTGGTTGGGTTGGTTGGTACCTGGCAGAGGTGGGATGTGGGGGTAGTGGCCATGGATTGGAGGGGGGGGATTAAAAGGGGCGAAGCCCCACACTCACGATGAGGAAGCAGGCACCCAACAGCGTGGCCTTGACCTTGACATCCAAATCCAGGGGGAACTGGACGCCAAAGGTGTTGACATCGGTGAGGGCTTCCTGGAGAAGCCCCCCCCACTGCTTGCTGATGCGGCCCACACCTCGTGACTCGTCGGTTGTCTTCACCTGCCCAGGATGTGATGACAGAACAGGAAGTGGCTCTCTACTCCCACCCCGTTTCTCCCTCTCCTCCATTTCAACTTCCCCAGGCACTTTTCACCCCCCAGGTCA